CGTCTCCCTTCATCCACTTTTTGGTTTTTTAAGAGCAAAATGATTGGGAAACTGTAACTTTTAAACTTTAACAGTAGGTGGCAGCAAACACTCATTGATTGTGGAAGGACCCTTTCACTGGGGGAAATGAATAATATGAATTATTTTCTACTTTTAGTTAAAAATAAAAACAAAGCAACCACAACAAAAGACACTTTACAGGCTTTTAATCACAGTGTCAGAGCATCAACTCTAGCGGTTCCTTCCTGAAGGTGCAGGAAAGGTGGCATTTGAGCATTTTAGCAACTCCTGGAAATGGCATTAAAGATGAGTATGTGATGGTACATTTGTCGCTAGGAATTAAGTTCACTATGTGCCTCAAATGAACACAGGGATTGCGTCTCGGAAATTATGAGACACTGCTACGACTTCTTCCACGTTCAGACAGGACTGCGCAGAACACACATCGTTAAGAATCAGCTCTGTTTTCAAATGGTTTCCGGGGACAGTTTCTTGGTGGCACCAACCCTTGGGAGACCGTGACAGTTGCCGGTCTGAGAGCTCCATCTTCCACCTTACTGACCATGCTAGGGGTCATATCATGAAGCACCCCTGCAGATAATCTAGTACCATATAGCTTTACGCTGCCAGTGCACTGGTCAGCACTCTTTTTAAAATCTGATTAGTATGATTCCTACTGTGATCTAAGGGGTGCATGCGAGTGTGTACATTTTCCCCAGATGCCTCTGTCTGTGCACAGCTGGGCTATCCTCACTTGTATTTTCGTATTCCTTTCTTTTTCTTTACTATTCATTTCTCGCCCAGGGTTTCATATTTCACCCTTTTCATTTTTTCCTGTCCTTCATGTCTGCTACCTTCTCTAATTTACACGCAGTCATTTTGAACCTTGCTCCCCCCCCCCCCTTTGAGTTTCATTGCTCTGTTGGACTCTGTGCACTAAAGGGAGCGGAGGTTTATGTTCCAGGTTACAGACGGTGGCCTAGAGAAAACGTGTCTAATTATCCTTTGGCTTATCCCAGTGAACTTTCTGTTCACGAGCCAGGCAGCTCCGGGAAGGGCTCTAAAGGAATTCTTTTGCTACCAGTCCATATTGTCAACCTTGATTTACCCTCAAACTTTTCTCCTAACACAAGAAGACTTGTACTTTTTCATATGATGGCTTGCTAAAGCATCCTGATGGGTGAACGTGACCGCTGGGATGGGTTCAAACGGCATCGGAGCCTTTGCTCCTCAGGTTGCCTGCTTCATGTGTCTTATCCCACTGGATTTAAAAAAAGGAGTCAGGATCTTTCCCATGAGTCAGAGAGGCACCATTGATGAAGGGCGCACAGTCACTAAGTGCAGAGCTCTGAGTACAACCTGAGGACTCTGGTCCCACCCACCTGCTCTTCACAACCCATCTTGCTGATGGTCTCCCTCCATCCCCCACAATGGGTTTATTGCTCTGTGGGTGTTAGCTTGATTTTATCTTCAGTAGGTCTTACTGATTGGAGACTTTTCATGATGTTTCTCAAGTTTTTGTTTATCTCTATTAGAGTCCTACTGCCAATCATTTTTTATCACTGAAATTCATTGGAAATGCGTGGCACTGGAAACCTGCTCCTAGGTGTCAGGTGCTAGATGCAACCTGAGCAATGACGTTTGGGTGTTATTGAATAACTACAACCTCTCTCACAGGTTATGTCTGAGTATTACCAGGCGATAATACTGTGAGGCTGCTAGCTTAAACTGTTGATACCATTAGTTACATACCTTTATGGAAAGGTTAGCGTTCCATAGCTACAGAGATAGCGGTATTGTCATCATCCTTCTTCCTCCTCCTCTTCCTCTTCCCCTTTTCCTCCTCCTCCTCCTCTTCTTACTTGATTAAGGCTTCAAACAAAATTGTTCTAAATCATCTTTTGCGGAGCTTATTATGAGTCTGCTTGGTGATGTTCTGTCTACTGTCCGTGGCCCAGAAGTAAATGGCTGGGTGCCACAGGGCTTCAAGCAACTGATTTTCTTATGTTAATCATCGTAATTATGTTAAAATCAAGGACTTGTGCTAATCAAGAGATCTCATGATGACAATAAACAATTTAGTCATGTAATCTTCATTGGATTAGTACTCAGAATATATTAAGAGCACAATTTAGTCAGAAAAAGACAAATAACCCAATAGCAAAATGAGCAAATGACAAGAATTGTAATTTCACTAAAGAGGAAATGTGAATTATTAATAAACCAATAAAAGGATGATTGACCTAAAAAGTTGTGATGAAACGGCAAGTGTCGGTCACAATGATATGCCATGCTACACAGGGCAGGACTGGCAAAAATCAGTTTGCAGTGTTTACGATCACATGGGGTAATAGGAACTCACACACAGACGTGCAAAATGGCACAACCACTTAGAGAAACAATCTAGCACCACCTTGCAAAGTTGAACTTGTACGAGCAATTCTCTTTATAGGTCTATGCTCTTCAGATAATTTTCCCATGTTTGGAGTAGCAAGAAGTCAGTAATACCCCGCCCCCACCCGGCAATCCGCTGGAATGAGAATAAAGAAATACAGCATAATAGTTTCATCTAATACAATCTTGAAGAGAAGTGAAAATGTATGCAGAAGGGCTAGCTAAAATATAACGGACAACCTGGGAAACAGACTATTGAGTGAAAAAAGCAGGTCCAAGAATATTATGCCATGTATTCTACTTTATAACGTTAAAAAGCAAGCAAAAACCAACAATCCCATTGATGAAGATAAATCATTGTGATGCAAAGGAGGGCAGGA